AGGTGATCAATGTTTTGCATCTCTTTGGGAGTTTTTGGAAATGTGAAAGTTTTTTGATTTAAAAACTCTTGCATGCTCGTAAGAGGCAGATTTTACACACAAACATTTCTGAGCCAGAAGAGTGTAGAAGACGGAAAAAAATGCTGCAGCGAAATTCCTTTCTCTCTCACCGGTTCCAACATAATTAACCTCTAGCTTTTGGGGAGTTCTTTATCAAAGGAGATTATTTCAACCTCTTCAGATTGCCAGGGATGGAGTCTACTGTATGTAATCATTTGTCACCTTTAGAAAACTCTCTACGCATGATGTCCAGTGAAGTTTGCCGAAGCGTCACTTCAGCAGAGTAGGCTTAGTGTAAATGGAAGGAACCGAAAATTTCTGATGTTTCTCTCCAGTGCAACGGCCGCGCTACAGATTGTTGGCTTAGATGGTCAGCTTGGTCTGTGAGATACCCGCCGTCGAATGCAACTGATCTGTTTTGGGAAAGACCGTACCAGAAGATGTCTACAGCCCAGGAGGTTAACATTACTTAAATTTTCCGTTAGAGATGGGGACATTTGCAACCATTGCCGACCCCTATTTCTCGGTAAACTATCAATAATTTTATTCATTTATTGAGTAGAAATATTAAGTGTCTGTATCATGAACAGATTATTATTGTTAATTTAAAAATTAAATTGATTTCTAACTTCTAGTGCTCCAGAGGATATCCTTGTCTAATTGCAATGAATTATATATTTAATAAATCAGCTTACCTACTATTTTGGTGTGATAATTATAATACTTACTACATACACTTTCTTAACCAGGGTTGTAGCATATTTAGATTACACAACGCAATGATTTAACTTTTTTTTTAGGTTATGTTGATTTTGTTGTTGGTGTTCTTCTTAAGGTAATTAAAAGGCAGGTTATTCACCACATTCAGTTGACTTATTTAAGAGGAAAGTTTATACACCACAATAATATATGTTAAAATCATGTCTCAATTATGAGTGAGAAGAAAGGAAATTGAAAGATGAGTTTCTCAAAATGTTTGCCATTTGAGCTCAAAGTTCTTCATAACTCATTTGAATTTGTGTGTTAAAACCAATCCTAAAACACTTGATATCTCTGTTTTCAGCTCTTCTATGACTTTTCATTGAAGTCGGGGAAACTTTATCATATCTCTATTTGTAGAAATCAAAATGTCTTGTGGGGGTAAATAGGTCCTTTATTCAAAGAGATTTGAGAAACCTCTTTCGATGACACAATTGGTATAGTGACTTTTGAGAAAGTGCAGGATGTTACCTGGTAAATGTCAAAGAGCCCCCATCATGCTGAAACCATGTGGTTTGGAAACAGGTCTCTTTTGTTGAATATTGGTCCATTTCGGTGAAAAAAATGTTCAGACAAAAATAATCAAGCTTCATAAATGAGTTTCCTTTAGGCCCTTTTGCAAGCACACCAAAACTGTGATACTAGCTCCACCCATTCATGCGTTATTCAAATAACAGATTAGCAATAACAGCTATTGCTAAGTAAGAACAGATTGTGCTTTATGGAAAACCCCAATCAAGATAACTTTTACTAAAAAAACTATAAACTTCCATGACAGACCACTTATTACAGCCAATGATTGTGGAAAATATTCATGCTTGGTTTAAATAAATGTGATTGGATTAAGTTATTTGGATGGGAGCACACAAGGATCATTTGCTTAAGGGAACAGATGTCTGTGTTGAGGACTTTTTAGAGAAGATGGCTCATATTCATATTACATATGGGCAAAGCCATGAAAACACCTGCACAACCAGCTTGTTCATTGTCTGGGATTTGAACCCAGGTTGAACTACCAGAGTTCAGCACCAAAAAATTATTAATCAGCTACCAATTGGCTTTTGAATAGATGTGATTTTAATGGTATGGAATACAACTGACTGTATAATATAAAGTTCTTGTACAAAACAATATCCAAATCAGTTTCAACTGTTTCTGCAATCTCAGTAATTACTGCATTAGAATGTTGTAAATTAATCTGAATTGCTTTTAACCTTTCGGGACAGGTGCCTGAATCACCGAACTGCTCTCTTGGGATGGCACACTGATAGGATACACTGTCTTGCTATGATGGGCAATTTGCGCTGCTAAGCCTAACTTTAGAAAAAATTCACATAAATTAAATTTGTAGTCTAGTTGTTCCAATTTTTGGCACATAATGAGAGGAACACTCAGATAGTTTTCAGAATTGATTTGAAAACTTTATCATTATATTTGCCTTGCCATTTGAAGTATAAAAAATGATTTTCTAAATGACACACAAAACATTTGCCTCAGTGCTAGCCAAACTGTGATTGAATAAAATCTCTAAAACACTAGAACATATATATACCCATATCACTAAAAATAAAAACAAAAGTTCCCAGAAGCATTGAGAAGATCCCCATGTGTTTATATCAGCTGATGCCAACTCTGTTTATTTACAGTACTCAACCCACCACTTTCACTTTGATTCCGAAACAAAGTACCAGAAATAAAAAATACTGCAAGGGAATGCAGATGAACATTCTCCACATTCAAAAGATCCCACCATAACAGGCATAAGGCTACATCTAATGGGAGGAAAGATACTAATTAAACATTCTGTCAAAAAATTCAGACGTGCTACACCCATCCTAACAGTCTATTTAAACATCGATTCATATATAGCACAGCTGGCTCTGGGATACATTTAGAAGACAATGTTCATATGATACGTCAACCCCAAAAGGGATAATTTCAAAGTTTACCATAATTTATTTTTAGATAAAATGTCAAACTCTCTAATATTCCTTAAATAGTTTGAACTTGAGATTTTAAATTACAAACAGCATCAACCTTTAAATTAGATTTGTGATTAGGCTTTTTATAGTTAACACAAATATCATGTTCAAATGTATTCCCACTTGCTAAATGCTTAGTTTCAGCACATTTGGGTATAATGTTGCTGTTCTGTATAAAATTCTTAGTATGGGCAGTAATATCATCTTGAAATTTTCTTGAATTCTTTAGAATTATTAAAAATCCATGTTAAATTAATTTTACTAATTTTTTTAATCTTTTTTTTAAGTCATTGGGTTGGTAAATACAGTCCAGCTCTTTTCCATTTTATTTTGTATAGGAAATTTAACATCAGTTTCACTTTCTATTAGGAATTGATTTTATGATTTTTGTTAACTTCATCTTTGCCTTAATAGAGTTGCACATTATACACTGAAGCAAGAATTAATTTTCACAAGTTATTATCTCTAGATCATCCTTTACATTTTAATATCATTAACAACTGTTTTCAATGCACCTAAATCAGTGATCTCAAACTCAGATTGCATGTGGGCTGAATGCACAATATGAAGAAAGAGAAAGCAGCTGGTGGGCCAGAACAGTTTTTTAACAAAATTTAAAAATTCTTAAAAAAAGAAAAGATTTCACTTACTAAATGTGTTAAAGCATACATAAATAATGATAATAAAAAATTTAATTTATATTTATTTTCTACTGAAGTATAAAAATTGGTACCTACAAAAGAAATTTTAAGTAATTCCAGTATATTGAAGTAACTTGTAAATAACTTACTTTTATAACCTAACCTGGAAACTTGGGGGGGGGGGACAGAATACTGAAGCCCTACCACCTGTCAGTCTGCAAACTAAATTTACTGACTAACAACAAAGTGGGAGAAATTCTCCCACTTTGTCTAGCCCTGACCTACCATACAAGCATACAGTGATAAAGTCCCAACCTATTCATTCTATGTAGTCATGCAGAAAAGGTCAGTCCATATCTTTATGTTTCTAAAACCATAAGCAACACCTTTGCAACAAACATGTGTTGAAATGTATTCATGGGCTGCATAGATGCATGGAATTGCTTCGGGGTCATGAGTTTGTGAAAACTGATCTAAATCATTTTATTTGGCTGCTTCAGCAAGTAAACTGCTTCTCTTCACTTTCCTTAACCTCTTTACACCAGTTTCCAAGTTGATAGGATTGATACTCTTAATAATTTTATTTTTAATCTTGTCAGGTGTGTCTTTTAAAAATTGTTTGGGTGTACTATCGCAGTATGTTCTAAGTCTACCCTCTTTTTGGAATGAGATTGAGACCTTGTTTTTGTCACCTCAGAGAAACTTTTCAACTATGTCTCTTATACTATAATAAAAATCCATGCATGGATAAAAGACTATGCAACAGACATAGAAAGGCAAAAAATCAAACATGATGCAACATATGGTAGATTCTGATTAAATAGCAAAGAACCAATTCATAAGTTGTTGTCATAGTATTGTGAATTAAAGCTTTTCTGTATTTATTATCTGATTTGTGGTGTCATTTGTCAGCTTTAATGAGAAATAAAGCTGAGAATGCTATATGGCATCTTTGATATTAAATACATCCATTGAAAGCAGGTCAGTATGCAGTTTTTTCTTTGATTTACTTGGTGGATATTTATTTGGCTGTGTGTTTTCCAAGTTTGATGTTCATTTAAGGTAAAACATCCTGACAATCTTCGTAGATATCAACATCAACCCTAATATTGCTAGACCTGTGAGAGAAACAGAAATTTGGTATCCATTTAATGGAAGACCTGACCCTTCAGTTCAGATAATCGGACTTCAGTCCCATCTTTGGTTTTCTTCTTGGACTTCAGTCCATATGAAGACAGATGGCTGTAACAAACTTTTTTTTTTTTTTTAGCTAGCTGACAAATGACTTCTTCAAGAAGAGCTTTTATTTAGTTCATCAGTGCTGCCTGATGACTGCCGATGATTCGTTCCAAATAAAGTGAACATGTTAGGCTGTAAAGGTCTCAGACAGATATATTTTTATCATCCCTTTTATTTTTATCCTTTTTTGTGTGTGTTTGTCTGACAATATTGAAAGATGATAAAATATCCTTTGGGATAATAATGCATATTTGTGCAAAAAAACACAATTTTGAATAATGATATCATTATTTATAAAGTACTATTTTAAATTTTATAGGTGGCCTGAAATACCTGAAGCGTATTAAGTTTTGTAAATGTATATATTTGGAGGATACTTGTATGAACATGCTTTCAGTCACAAAGAACTCTTTAAAGCATCTTGAAGTGATTAGTTGTGGCAATATTTCAGACAAAGGGATTCTGTCAATTTCAGCTCTGGAGTATGTCTTTTAATCAACATTTTTTGAAATATTGGTTTATTACTTGTCGTCGTCTTGTATAATGCTAGAAGTGTCAGTTTTTTGCATTTATTTTTTTTTAATATGCACATAAAAGTAAACATGCTTCATTGCTCTAAAATTTACTTTTTTTAAACTGTGAAGAAAAATTCTGATGTGATTTTATATTTAATGTCTGAAGATTCAACTGCAGCTGACTATCATATGAAATCAAAATCTTCTTAACATTAATTTTTCATCCAGTAAAACTAGTTTGTGCCACTTTAGGATAACAAGAAAGAAATCAGGGATAAACTTTTTATAAGTTTTATAAATAAAAATTACATTTGTGTAAAATGATGTATTTTCTGCTTACAAAACTGTAAAAGTAATATGTTGTTTATCAATTTGAAAACGAGTTATATATTAAATTTATATAAATTTTTTTGTTTTTAAATCTTAAAAGTCATAGCTATTATTTTTATGCCTACATTTAAATCATAAACATAAATCATATAAATAATTGTATTGTAGTTAAATTTATTAATATTTTGAAATAATTTTTCATATTTCAGATTGACATTCTTCGAATTTCCTGTTATATAAATAAATTAAATATTGTCACCACTTGATTTAATGACTCGCTCTTTAGCTTCTGTGTATAGCTGAATCAATTATTGCTTGTATACATATGCCCATAAAAGCAGAAATTAATAAAAATTTGCTGCAACATAATAGTTTTTCATTTAACATATAAAAAGTAGGATTTTAAATAAATTAGTAATTATATTGGATACCTGCTGGTACATAAATTCAGATACTTTGTTCCAGTATCAGTTTATTCTGATGCTAAGTTTTAGAAGGTGTCATAATCCAGAAGGGCAACTCACAGAAATCTAAAAAGGAACACTTCATTCCCTGCAGCTAGAATTTTCAGCTGCAGCCATAATTTGCATTAAAGTATTTCTTAAAATTTAACAAAAATGACATATTTTTTAACACTGGTCTGCAGTTTTTGAATGGTTCTTGTGAAGTAATTTGCATATGGTATCTTCAAAGTGTAGTAATACTGGATGTTCAAAATGTTAGCAAAAATAAATTTATCAGCATACGTTAAAGTCATTCTTTCATGTGTTATCCATATATTATTTGCAAGTTTATGTTAGTTACTGATCATCTGTGCATCCCAGTATTAATTTTGAAGACTTCTATTATGAAGATGTGTTGCACTCCTCTTGAAATACATAAGTTAATAATTCATGAGAACTATTAATGTCAAAATTTTGCAGATATCATAATCATGTACATAGAAGGTATGCTTTTAAATCCCTAAAGCATGAATATTTAATTCTGTTAAATTTAGAGTCTGATCAAGACTGCCAAGCACAGAACCCTTTCATGTTCCTTCCTCCGATGCTCAATTTCCTTGTTTTCGTAAAGGAGGGGGGAAAGGTTTACATAAAAAAGGTAATTATAGAAAGATTCAGGAGCCTGATAAATTTTGAAGTCACAGTCTTGGACCTTTTAAGTCTGTGCTGTAATTAATCCCTAATAAAGCTCAAACTCAAACTGTGTGTATATTGCTTTACAAAACAGATCTTGCATTTTCTATTTGTGAAACTGGGAAGCATTCTTAAGTGAATCTCATGGAAAATAGAAAGTATGGCTGTGGCTGCTGAAAAGGTTTTGCATACTGTGGGGTCTACTTGCTTATCTTCTAAGTGACAATTGTACGTGTAATAACTGCACAGGAGAAGGGTTTAATGTACCCTTTATTAAACTCTTTAAATTTTACAACGCGTCAATTCGAGGCTAACACACTACGCCTCCCTTGGGCGGTAACTGAAATCACAGAACTAAGTTAAAAATTCGAAGACGTTCACAAGTAGTAGAAGATGAGCTACAGTGCTCAGATAACTCCTGTTACTTAAAACCACATCAATACTAGTGGCAGCAAAGAAAATGCTGTTATGCTATGTTAAACCAGCAATAACTCCGGGAGTACAAGCTCACGCAACAGAGGTAGCCGCAATATCCTAACTCTCTCAAACTTTCCTTCTAAAACTCGGTATTTAAACTCTTTCTCTACAAGGTAGAATTTGGATTCCTTCACGCGCATAAATATTCTGGCATTGACAATTAGGGGAATGAAAGTTTATAGGAAAGAATCTGAAATTAAATAAAATTGGTTACTCTTGCAACCAACATGTGTTGAATTGGATTCATGGGCTATATAGATAGATGCATGGAATTGCTTCGGGGGTCATGAGTTTGTAAAAACTGATCTAAATCATTTTGTTTGGCTGCTTCGGCAAGTAAACTGCTTCTCTTCACTTTTCTTAACCCCTCTTTACACCAGTTTCCAAGTTGATAGGATCGATACTCTTAATAATTTTATTTTTAATTTTGTCAGGTGTTTCTTTTAAATTGTTTGGAAGTACTATTGCAGTATGTTATAAGCCTACCCTCTTTTGAAATCAGATTGAGACCTTGATTTCACTCTTGTTTTTGTCACCTTGGAGAAACTTTTCAACTATGTCTCTTAGACTAAATAATAAAAATCCATGCATGGATAAAAGACTATGCAACAGACATAGAAAGGCAAAAAATCAAACATGATGCAATATATGGTAGATTCTGATTAAATAGCAAAGAACCAATTCATAAGTTGTTGCCATAGTATTGTGAATTAAAGCTTTTCTCTATTTATTATCTGATTTGTGGTGTCATTTGTTAGCTTTAATGAGAAATAAAGCTGAGAATGCTGTATGGCATATTTGATATTAAATACATCCATTGGAAGCAGATCAGTATGCAGTTTTTTCTTTGATTTACTTGGTTGATATTTATCTGGCTGTGTGTTATCCAAGTTTTAGTCCTATAATATAATTTTACTTAAGATTGTTAAAGACTAATAGTCATGTTCAGAAAAAGAACAAAATTCTATATATATTGTCAGAAATCCAGATTGTGATGTACTAAATGCTTTGAGAAATTTTTAAAATGTTGTTTTCTTATGTTTATGTATGTAATTGAATGAAAATTTTTTTCTTCAGAATATTCATCAAAGGATGTAATATTATTTACATATTTACTTTTGATTCTTAATTAGTCTAGCAATTAACAGTACTCCCATTTATAATATATTTAGATATCAAATATTAAATGGTTGCTTCAGTGTCATGATAAATATTTTGATTCCTCTTTTTTTTTTTTTTTTTTTTTTTTAGGAATTTGGAAACTTTGTATCTTTATGATCTACCAGAAGTTAAGGATCGGAGTTATTGCAAATCTGTTTTGCAAAAGAATTTACCAAGATGTAAGATTGATTTTCCATTAATTCAGGAAGAAGAGACTAATGAATAGCTTTACAAATCTTTGAATAATAGGTTTAATGAACATTATAAATAACTCTCTCTGTTCAGATTTTTGTATCTGTAATAAACTCTGATTTCAAAAATATTGTTATATTTTCCTGATAATACAACTGAAAATCAAGGGCGTGCAGTCCATATGTGCAGGGTGAGCAAAAATTCTATCTTTATATGGTATATAATAAATATATTCAAATATTATGTTAATTTGCTTGCTTGTATTCCCGCCGTGTGTGCGGTACTAGGTGCTGCACCTTGTAGTGCATTCAAAAGCAAATGAACATAGGAAGTACGCACTGCGCACTAATAGAAAATCATGCTTTATATGTATGGGCTACTGAAGAAGCACAGCATACTATAACACTGAGGCAAGTGCAGCTATTTTTCCTGCACTTTGCATTCAGAATCATCCAAAGGTACGGTTCACTAAGCGTTGTATTAGAGCGGGGATATACGTGCTGAAGCGCTTTTGGTTTTTAACTGATTAACTGGCCATACGATTTTGCAGACAATTAATGTTTAAATTTATATATTGTAAGATTTTGTTTTTATGGAAATATAAAAGAAGTATTTCATCAATATAAAGGGAAATGTTTTAGTATGGTAAAATAATTTCAGTGATGTATTATATTTATGGAAATAATTCTCTGAAAAACAATTTTGTTTTGTTAAACAAAAAAGAAACGAATTTTAACAGAACAGTCCAAATTTTACTATTCATTGTGTCTTACAGACAGTATATTAGTTATTATCTGTCTAACACCATATCCCTGGTTTCGTTTTTAAAAATTGTCAAGATGTTTTTCGCAGAATATATGATTTCCAAATGTTAAAAACAATTAATAAATATAGTTTAATCCGCTGACCGAACAAGAAACAGTTTGTTCTATTGTGCCAGCGTGCAGTGAAATCCTCTGCACGTGGAATAGACGTTCGGTTTGTCGGCACCAATGAGTATCCTGATGACTCATCCTGATGTCATCAGGCTGATGATGAGGCACCGCAGGCGGCGGGTGCCGCATGGTGGTGCTACGTTTGCTGAAAATATAAGTTTTTCCGTGGAAGCCTGAAGCGTTGCTTTTTCGCCGCCGATATGAACACCATACAACACAAGACATGATTTTTGCTTCAGTGCTAGTAGAAATTCTCGTAAGTTTAGCTGTTTTTATATAGTTATACCTCGACTACTCGTAAGTATTTTATTTATTGTATTCTAATTCTGTTATTCTGTTAATTCTGTTATTCATAATAAATAACCCATTTCAGAATGGAGAACTCAGATGTCTCAATAATTAAAGATTTATTGGAAAATCCATTTTCGAGACGAGACGTTACTACAAAAAATGAAATAGTTAAATTAAGTAGACCGATGCCGAATATTATTCTATCGCAAAACATTAAGATTAAAGGACAACAGTGTGTACGACATTTTCAAAAATCTATGTATAAAAAATTTAAATGGTTAACCGGTTGTAGTGAATTGAATAAGTTGTACTATTGGCCATGTTTACTTTTTGTTGTAATTGAAAAGAACAAGAATATTTGGACAAAACAAGGCTACAGTGATTTAAATCATCTCCACGAAGCTGCAAAGAAACATGAAAAAACACAATCTCACATAAATGCCATAATACTATTAAAAACATTTGGTACCGCTAGGATAGATTTAATGTTAGATCAACAAAAGGCTTCATTGATTGCTCAACACAATGAAAAAGTAACAAGAAATAGAAATATTCTCAGATTAATAGATATAGTTTGTTACTTAGCAAAACAAGAAGATGCATTTCGTGGACACAATGAGAATATAAATTCCCTTAATCGAGGAAATTATATAGAATTAATAACTTTAATTAGTAAATATGATGACCTTTTAGCCAACCATCTACGAACTGCAACTGTGTTTTCTGGAACCTCTAATAGAATACAAAATGATATTATTGCATCGATAAAATTTCAGAAATTAGAAACGAGGTAAAAGAAACGCCATTCATTGCTATTATGCTGGATGAAACATCTGACATATCTTCACAAATCGCGATTATTGGTTGTGCCTACGATATGTTAATAATTGTAGTGCGCCAAGTGGAAAGACTTTTGTTTTTTTAAAGATGTTAGTGGTGAACGTTTCAGCGGAAGCTTTGTGTAATGTTGTGCAAGAAACGATTTTGAGATTGGGGGTGTGAGAATAAACCTGATTGCTCAAACGCACAATGGGATGGCAGTCATGGTAGGAGCGTTGAATGAGGACGCAGAAAAAAGTAAAAGAAATTTTCCCAGAAGAAGCTATGTTTGTGCATTGTTGCGCACATGTACTTAATTTAGTTCTGTTGCAATCTGTATTGTTTATAAAAGAATTGTAAATTATATTTTTGCAACAATTTTCTGACATAGCCTCATTTCTTTTCGGTGTCTACAAAAAGAAATCATGTTTTAAATGAAATTATTAAAAGAAAATATCCAAACATAGCTACAACACGTTGGAACTATTCATCTTGTTTGGTAAATACCGTAAAAAGCGAAAGGCAAGGTCTATCTGATTTATTTGAAAATATTATTGAGAATCCAGAAGGCTGGAATAACGATACAATTAATATTGCAAAGAGTTATCACGTTTTTTAAAGAATTTAACGGTAATTTTCTCCTAAATATTTTGGTCAAAGTGTTTAGTTATACTGATGTTCTATTTGATATTTTACAAAAACTAACTTAGATATAGCATATTCTAGTCAAAAAGTAGAGGAAGTAAAAGATGCAATTCAAAATATGTGAACTTCTGTTGCATTTGATGAAGTTTATGAAGAGACTATTTCTGTAGTGAGTCTCCCAAATTAAAAAAAATGTGTAAATTTACAAAACTCAAGTGTAGACCAAGACCAACATTTTAAAATTTATATTATGAAATAATGGACACTATTTATTGTCAGTTAGATGTCTGTTTTAAAAAATGAATTCGCTCAAATTTTTTGAACTATTGAATTTGTTTTTTTAAGAAATATCAAAGTAAATTTCCGGATGAATGCCTTAATTCGTTAAAGTACACTTATGCAAAACATTTCAATTTTGTAAAGCTAACCAATGAATTATGCGTTCTTTATCGTAGTGAGTCATACCACGAAATGAATTTATCAAAACTTATTCAACATATAATGCTGAATGATTTGAATGCGATAATTAAGTGAAGTAAATAAATTGGCACATTTAATTTGTACAATTCCATTTTCAACTGCTTCGGTGGAGAGATTATTTTCAGCATTGAAAAGAGTAAAAAATTATGCACGCAATACGAGCCAGGATAGATTAAGCAATTTATCTCTAATAACAATAGAAAAAGAAATGTTACATTTATTACAGTCAAAACCAGTTTTATGATCATGTAATTGATGATTTTGTTAGTAATACAGATAGACGTATGGATTTTGTGTACAAATGAATAATAAAAAATTAAAGAAGTGTTTAATGTACATTTTTATGGTTTTATTATTATTATTGTTGTTCTCTGCACACCCTGCATGAAAACCTACCGCACATCACTGCTGAAAATACTAAATTTTACTTTGGCTTACATATTTTAATACGGTTTTAAGGTAAAATATATATTTATAAAATCTTGCTTTGTATAATAAAGCATACCAGCAGATGAGCAAATAAAATGTCTTAACATTGTTTGTTTGATCTAAGTTCAATTCCTGATGAACAGGCTAACTGCATGGACATTTTCATCTTTTTTCCCTTTTGTAATGTGAATGTGAGCTGGTTTTCTCTTAGAATGCCCTTCATGAAGGTATCTTTTCTCTTAAGCAGATAGCCTTCACATGCTTTGCCATAATCTCATAAATTCAATTTGGTGTTATCTGTCACCTTATGACAGATATAAAAATATCAGCATGGGACAACAGCTATTAGTAGTTAAATATACAGTCAAAAGTCGTTAATTCGGACACCCATAATCCGGACCTCAAAGCTAAAAACTTTCTGCGCATGCGCATTGGCGTTTACACGTGCGCGTAAGACCTTTACGACTGCGCATAGGCGTGTGTGCGCAAGCGCAGAATACGTTTTCGCATGCACGTTTAATGTATAATGAACGGTATAAGCTAAAATTATCTAATTATCTATTTCAGTTAATGTTGATGATTGCGTTGTTCCTTAATCTTCGAATTGGATGCTGCTTATTATTTTTTGCAGACTGTAAGAGCAATTTTATAAAAGTAAACTTGAACTTTCGATTATGTCAAATAGAATTTCCGATGCTGGAGCTCCCAAAGGATCTACAAAAAGAAAGTATGTTTCGATGTCCGTCAAACAAAAAGTGGAATTGCTGCAAAAAATGGATAAAGACATGAAGAAGGTGACAGAGAGGTTAGTGAAAACGAAAAATTTCGATTGACAAGTTAGTCGGTATTCTCGGCACAGCAATTACGGGACTTGAACAGCGGAACTTTGTAACTGAACAAAAAATTATGTCTGTTTATAGAATTAAAGAGAAAGTATTATCACATAAAATGAAGCAACTTAAACAACTTGGTTTAATCCTAGTATCCGGTGCACATGGGATTTGGCGACTTTATGATGAGCAGTAAAAACGGGACATATGCAATGAATAGTAAACAGGTCATTCAAAAAATATATACAGTTAAATATAGTATATATTATGTATATACACACATAGTATATAGTTTAAAGACGTTCTTTGGATCATTTTTGGTGTTGGCGATAATTTTCAAAATCGCGCCAAGGCTACACTTTATACTAGGATTTTACCAACAACTTACATTGAAAGAAATGTTTAATAAAGTAAACAAATAAATATTTAAGCTTTTTTTTTTTTTTTGTAAATTTTGATACCCTATAGATCATAATTGTTCTTTATTTCATAAATTATGGTTTTTCATATTTTTAATTTTAGAATTTCTGCATGCCATCTTACCAGATTTAAACTGATGATCTATAATCCGGAAAAATATATAATCTGGAATCGCCGAAGTCCCGACGAATCCGGATTAACGACTTTTGACTGTATAGCCAGGAAAATAGCAAGATATGTTTTCAGCATAAAAATTTTTGGTACGCTGTTTGCTCAAAAAGGGGCTTTTGAAGTGCCTCCTAAAACTTGTAACCGAAAAATTTAGCACATCATAAATATATGCATGATACCTGAATCCTAAACACTATAAAGTAAGTAATCAGAAGTAGTAATT